CGCCTGGGGATGAGCCCGCGCCCCGGGGCCGCTGTGACTCCCGGGGGACCCTCCGGAAGACCCCGCCAGGAAACGCCAAGTTCTCGATCATGCCTGCCTGGCAGAAGTTCTCGGATGGGGGCGCAGAGACCTCCAAACAGAGCGCGGGAGCTGAAAGCACGAGAAAAAGGCCCGGGCTGGGAGCCAGCGACCAGACAGCGCCCCCGCCCCTGGCTGCTGAGAGCGATGAGCCCCAGAAAGGCCCAGAGAATGTGGGGGCGCGCCAGGAGCCAGCAGACACCACCGAGGGCTGCAAATTTGCCAAAGACCTTCCATCCTTCCTTGTTCCGAGCCCTCCGTACCCTCCGCAGAAAGCGGTGGCCCAGGCGGAGCCCGTGACCGCGTCGGGCAGTGAGACCGCCGGTGGCGCGGGAAAGCCGGACCCCGCGTTGCCAGGTGGGGAGGAAAAAGCCTCCTCACCTTTTGGAATAAAGTTGAGAAGGACCAACTACTCCTTGCGCTTCCACTGCGACCAGCAGGCAGAGCAGAAGAAGAAGAAGAGGAACAGCAGCGCTGGGGACAGTGCAGAGGGGGGGCCGCCGGCACCAGCGTGCACGGATGGAGAGAAGGCGGCAGAGGGTGCACCGGCCCTTAAGCATGGCCCATCCCTCCCCGCAGAGAGCAAGCAAGGCCCCGGCAGCTGGAAGGACTTTGCCATAAGCCCTTCCAGCCCCCCTCCCCCAGCCCAGCCTGGACCCCCACCGGTCAGCAGCCAGACCCCTGCCCCGGAGCACACCAAGGCAGCAAACAGAATGCCCATGGCGCAGAAGCCAGCCCTGGCGCCCAAGCCCTCCGGTCAAACGCCACCGACCTCCCCGCTCTGCAAGCTGAGCAGGCCCTACCTGGTAGAGCTGCTGGCTCGGCGGCCGGGGAAGCCTGACCCGGAGCCCAGTGAGCTGTGCAAGGAGGGCCAGGAGCGCCGTGAGCCTGGGCCACCCTCGCCACCACCTCCCAGGAGGGAAGAGAAGGAAGAGGTGGAAGCAGAGAGGAAAGCTGCTGCCCCCGCTCTGTCTGCAGCCCCACAGGAGAAGCCTCCCCAAACGCCCGAGGCCGGGAGGAAAGGTACGTAAACCTGGGTCGGAAAACTGCCTCTGTCCAGCTGATTGTCCACGTCACAGCTAAAGCCAGGCTGCCCAAGGCCGGAAGTAGCCAGTGGAGCTCGAGTGGTAGGAGTTCCCTTCATGAGAAGCCCGTTTGCCATTCCTGGAGGGAGGGAATCTTAGTGAGGCTCTTTACTTTTGTGAAGAGGAAACGTCTGTGGCCCAAAGCTTTTTGGAAAGTTGATTGAGCCACATGCTGGCTGGAAAGGGGACCAGGGCCGGGGGCAAGCAGTCTGAACCAGCAGCAGCAGCAGGGCCAGGTGGAGAAGATAAGCATGTCCCCGAGCTTTTCATGCCATGGATGTGGGGAAGGACGAGGTGAGTGGTTTCAAAAGGCTTTCCCTTGGCTATAGATAAGGTGGAAAGGCGAAGCAGAGACGTCCTGGGATAGGTGCAGGGTTCCTAAGGAAGGATTACGGTCACACCTCATTTCTCGAACATCTCCCCATCTTGAACAGTTCGATTCCCAACCAAGCTATTCACAGAAAAAAAATGTCGGTTGTCGAACCAGTCTTCGGTTTTTGACCTGACATCCCTTTCATGCTGATACCTCAGCATGACAAAAAGCATCTCTCAGGCAACAAACAAAGGAGAGAGTGCTTTTGTAGCTGGTGAAATCAGTGATTAGCACAATCTGAAAAGATAAAGAGGCCCTCAACGATGCTGATGTTGCTAAGGGTGTGAAAGAAGCAAGGATCACAGGCAATTGAAGAGGCAGAAAAACTGTTGATTTGGATAAACGAAAAGCAGGTGGCCAGTGACAGCATTTCCGAGGCAGTGATATATGAACAAGCAAAGATAATGCTGCTTCTGACCTGAAAGACATCCCTGGAATGAGTGCTGAAAGTGATTCCTTTAAGGCTAGTAGCAGGTGGTTCAATAAATGTAAGAAAAGCAGTGTTTGTTTATGGATTAAGCAGTACATTAGACATGTACTGTATACAAGAAAGGTTAAAACAGGGAGTCATTTGGGGGGTCTGGAATGGATTAATTCAGTTTACATTATTTCTAAAAAATGGGGGGAAGTGATTTAGTTTTTGAACAAATCGCTTCTCGAACAGCCTTCCGGAGCTAATTAAGTTTGAGAACCGAGGTTCCACTGCATTTGCTACTTTTGGATTGGCTGTGGGACAACAGTCCGAAAGCTGGTGCGTAAGCAAGCTGTGGTGGCGTCTGGGCCGTCAGCCAAGTCCCTCAGATAAACGCCATCTGGAAGCTGATGCGAAGTTTCAGCGTCCATTCAGGCATGGAGGCAGTCTTTTGTTTCTGCCGACAGTCATTACCTGGTGGACCTCCCTTACATCTCTCTCCCCTTTTCTGGCCCACTGTAATTTAATTTAGGACACTCCCAAATTTTTCTCATCACTTTTCCACTCTTCTTCAACATTTTGGAAATCCGAACTGATTCTGCTATGTATCTGGGGCTCACGCCCATTCATATTTACCGAACACAAGTTAAAGGTGCCCACGGCAATGAAATACCCCAATGAATGAAGATGCCCCGGTCATTGGGAGGGGCAGTGAGGGTAAAGACTGGGCTTGCCTAGACGATCGACTGCTGTCTGTGGGCAGTAGCAATACCACAGTAGGCTGGTAGGGGGCTTCCGGCAGCTCCACCGGCCTGGGCCTCTGCGTGAATAATTGGCTGGGTCTCAGGTTTATGCAAAATGCTCTACAACCGCACCCCCACGCCACCAGCTTGCCACTGGGAAGCCCTCCAGTAAAGAAATTGTAGAGCCACCCTCACTCCTGGCTGCCCCTCTTGGCTCTTCAGACCGGATGTTTGGGACCGCTCCCTGGCCACTTGGATTGGCTTTGGGACCCCTAAGAGCTTTTACCTGGTAGTTCTCACTTCTGATTTGCAGAGCAGGCCAAGTGTGGCCATAGCCCAGAAGTCTCACATCTCAGAGAAATTCTCCCCTGAGGTGTTTTAGGGAGGGATTGTTTTTATTTCTTCTGTTTAATTGTTTAGGGTTAGGGTGGTTCTTGCTGAGAAAAGAGCCTGTGTCCTGAGGGGTATTGGTTGGTTGCTCACCCTGCCACCCGATTTAACCTAGACTTGACCGGTTTCCTGGACTGTTGACCAGCAGTTTCCAAACCATTTCTCCCTGATGGTTTCTGTCTGTCCTGACAGTGAGGAGCCCGTTTTTCAGCCTTTGGTTTTCCTTTCAGCCTCTGCACTGGGCCCCGGGGAGATAGCCACAGTGAATCCCTGGGAGCCCATTAAGAGAGGTCCCTTAGTTGGACGCAATCCCCGTTGGCTTTCAGAGCTAGGTATTTTTGGGGCCTTGTCTCTCAGGCAGAAGTCTTAGAATTTGGGGCACCAAATGTAGGGTCTACCCCTGCCCCCTTTCCTCCCTCCAGGTTGTGAGTTGCAATGCCTGGGGTGGGGTTTATGGTGAAATTGTGTCTCAGCCTCTCCTATTCATTTGCCCAATGCAGTGGTTCTCAACCTTGGCTGCACATTAGAATCACCTGGGAATCTTTTTAAAATCTTGATTTCTGGGCCTCATCCTCCAGAAATTCTGTTTCTTTGTTATGGGGTGGGGCCACAACATTAGCAACAAAGAAACAGAATTTCCGGAGGATGAGGCCCAGGAATCAGGTGATTTGATTTGAGAACCACTGGCCCAACGTATAGGCGTCACTCAACTAGTTTCTGGATTTTAGTCAGAGGCAGTTGTTCTGTATGTAGCTGCAGACTTGGTATGTCTGTGGGAGGACAGGGTTCAGGACCCTATGTCACCATCCTGAACCAGAAAACCCATTTTTAGTTTTTTAAAATATGTTTTATTGATTTTTAGAGAGAGAGAGAAGGAGAGGGAGAGAGAGATAGAAACGGCAATAAGAAAGAATCATCCATCTGCTGCCACCTGCACGCCCCCTATTGGGGATAGAGGCTGCAACCCGGGCATGTTCCCTGACCCAGAATGGAGACTCAAGCCTCTGGGTGCCTGGTCCATGCTCAACCACTGAGCCATACCAGCCAGGCCCCCACTTTTAGTTTTTGTTGGGGTCCAACCCCAGCAGGTCCAGGGGTCCCCAAAGGTGTGGACGGAGTCGGCGAAGAAGGAATGACACGGAGACAGTCTTCAGTTGATCAGCAGCCTAGTCAGGACCTCTAGCCAGGATCTCCAGCCAAAGTTCTGGTCGGGATCTCCAGCCAAGTTCTGGTTAGGATCTGATTAGGATCTGATGTTTATTGTCTTGTTACATCTATATTTATACCAGCCGATTTTAATCCTGTCAATTTCTATTACAAAGGTTAGGGCGTTTCTTATCTCCATTCCAGGGAGTAAAGATTATGTAGCTTAACTACCCGCCTGGCACTTAATTAAGGGGTTGTATCCCCTCCCTAACCTCAGGGAAAAATCCCTACCTGGGGAAACAACCTTTCTCGGAGAGGTGACCTTGGTTAAAACACATGGCGCTTAAGGAGAGCAAACATATTAAGAACAATATGCTATATATGCCAGGTCCCTTGAAACATATGCTGTGCAGATGTTTCTTTCCTGCAGCGACTGTGTCAAGCAGCAAGGATGGACCGGCTTCCGGCAAGTTTTCACATTAGCTTTTGCACCAGTAACTTTTGTAGTCATCAAAGCCCCTCTCACAGCCTGGCCTGCTCCAGCACACTCCTATCTTCTCCCCTAAAAAATAATGTTCCAACGCTGCATCTTTCTCTTACACTTTTCCCTTTGGTTATAATTTTCTACCAAAAGCTATTCCTGCCCCTGTTTTCTTTATCAGTATCCAGATTCTAGGTTGTCAGGCTCCACTAATTGACTTTTTCTTTATTTGGTAGAAAAGAAGCATGACAACAAGGACCGTATGCCTTGTGACTGGTTGCTGCCTAAAGACTCTTCTGTCTGACTCTAGACCAGGGCTGACCAAATTTGTTTGACTAAACACCCCATTGGAATAAATTGCCTGGTCCTCCAATTTATTTGTTAACTGTGTCCATGTTAAAACCCCTGGAGCGCCATATATACACTTAGGGTGCAGTTCACTGAAGCAGTAGAGGATGTAAATCCATATTGCAAATTGTGGCATTATCTTTTATTTCTTTGGCCAACTTCTTGTCAGATCTGATTTCTTCACAAAGTGGCAGGCAAAGAGCTTGCTTGTCAGCTCTACTGTGGCCTCATGCTTGCATTAGGAAGTAGAGTAAATCTGTGGTCTGTTTGCAGGAATTGTCCATTTCATAAAGGGTCATTTAGATCAAAGGAGATAGGACATTCATAAACTTACCTAACCGCAGAACCTCACTGTATGCTAAAAGCCAAGCCAGTGAGGACAGGATTGCTGGTTCTCGTCTGAGCACTCCCAGCTTCCCCCGGGAGTCTCTACACATGCCATTTGTTGTACCTGGCCTTCCGGTCTATGGGCTGAGTGAGAATGTCAATGCCAGTCTAAACATCAAATACTAGAGGCCCGATGCACAAAAATTTGTGCACTCAGAGGGGGAGTCCCTCAGCCTGGCCTGTGCCCTCTCACAGTCTGGGACTCCTCGGGGGATAACCACCTGCTGGCTTAGGCCTGCTCCCCGGGGGATTGGGCCTAAGCTGGCAGTCAGACATCCCTCTGGAAGCCCAGGAGCCCTCGGGGGATGCCCACTTGCCAGCAGGGAGCAGGCCTAAGCTGCAGTCGGACATCCTTAGCGCTGCTGAGGAGGCGTGAGAGGCTCCCACCACCACCGCTGTACTGGCAGCCGTCAGCCTGGCTTGTGACTGAGCAGAGTTCCCCCTGTGGGAGCACACTGACCACCAGGAGGCAGCTCCTGCATTGAGCATCTGTCCCCTGGTGATCAATGTGTGTCATAGTGACCAGTCATTCCCAGTGGTTCTGCTGTTAGGGTCAATTTGCATATTAGAGGCCTAGTGCATGGGTGGGGATAGAGGCCTAGTGCATGGGTGGGGGCCGGCTGGTTTGCCCTGAAGGGTGTCCGGATCAGGGGGGGGGCCCGCTGGGGTGCCTGGCCAGCCTGGGTGAGGAGCTGAGGGCCGTTTTCAGACTGGCCACAGCCCCTTCAGGTTAGGGGTCCCCCCTGGGGTTCCTGACAAGCCTGGGTGAGGGGCTGATGGCTCTTAGCAGGCTTGCCACAGCCCCTTCAGTGTGGGGGTCCCCACTTGGGTGCCTGGCCAGCCTGGGTGAGGAGCTGAGGGCCATTTTCAAGCTGGCCGCAGCCCCTTCAGGGTGGGGGGTCCTGCTGGGCTTCCTGGCCAGTCTGGGTGAGGGGCTGATGGCTGTTTGCAGGCTGGCCACAGCCCCTTCAGGTTAGGGGTCCCCCCTGGGGTTCCTGACAAGCCTGGGTGAGGGGGCTGTTTGCAGGCTGGCCACAGCCTCTTCAGGTTGGGGTCCCCACTAGGGTGCCTGGCCAGCCTGGATGAGGGGCTGATGGCTGTTTGCAGGCTGGCCACAGCCCCTTCAGGTTAGGGGTCCTCCTTGGGGTGCCTGGCCAGTTTGGGTGAGGGGCTGATGGCTGTTTGCAGGCTGGCCAGAGCCCCTTCAGTGTGGGGGGTCCCCACTTGGGTGCCTGGCCAGCCTGGGTGAGGGGCTGAGCGCCGTTTTCTGGCTGGCCACAGCCCCTTCAGAGTGGGGGGGTCCTGCTGGGGTGCCTGGCCAGTCTGGGTGAGGGGCTGATGGCTGTTTGCAGGCTGGCCATGGCCCCCAGCCACCCAAGCTTCCAGTGAAGGCTGGCTGGAAGCAGGTATCTGGGATTTATTTAGCTTCTATAATTGAAACTTTGTTGCCTTCAGTGGAGGCCAGAGCCGGCCAGGGCAGGCAGGAAGCTTGGCTTCCTCCATCGCTGGGGCAACCAAGCCTCCTGCTTGCTCCAGCTCTGTGGCTGCCGGCCGCCATCTTGGTTGGGTTAATTTGCATATAGTCACTGATTGGTTGGTGGGTGTGGCTTGGGGCATAGCGAAGGTACGGTCAATTTGCATGTTTGCCTTAGATTAGATTAGAAAAGCTTGATTTCACTTTTATTTTTATATTTTTAAAGATATATAAATAGAAATTCTAAGCTTTTCTTCCTTTACCCCCAGTGAATGGCCTTGCGCATCCCCTAGGGCACACACACCCTTTTTGTTTGAGACCACTGCTTTAGAAAGAGGTTTCTATTCCTGGGACCGAGGCCAGTGAGGACCAATACCAAGGTGAAGACATTGGGAGGGCGGAGACTCTGAACCAATCCTGATGGGAATTAAAATAGCAATGAT